AAACCAAAGAGCCAACCCACATTTCACCCACATATCTCTGGAAACTGCTTCAATTTGTGGGACGGCGGGATAGAAGTGTGAAAAACGGGAATATCCCACAAAAATCAGGACATCTGGTCAACCTAATAACGTTTAAATTCCAATAATATTTACCAAGCTGTGTCTTGACTATCTGGTCTTATATTTCAGTTTCTCACAACCGTAAAAATCTTCTAACTGAGCATACAGGAATGAACAGCTTTAGTTTTTTTATATTGTTTTGTAGAAAGCGCTCATTATGGGGATAAAATCCTTCCGTCTGTTGGTTTATAAGGTATTTGAGAGGAACTTTGACTCCAAATGTTGTTTTCCTGTTTTTTCTTTGCCAAACAGGAATGAATATGTGTCTGAGAACAAAACTTTTGCCGATATTAGCAGAATTGTAACAGATGAACGCAGATCTACTGTAGATAACTGTTTAAAGCAGAATGTTTTCACACAAATGCAATATGCACAGCAAGCGCTGTAACGCATCTGATGTGTTTTCTACTTACAGTAATGTCTTTATCAAGTGGGAATGCTTATGCATTCCCACTTATTGTTGTTCACTTCAAATTTTTCTGACTCTAACTAGTCCCGCAGTTTTCAACCGATTTCAACAATTTTGGTATCAAAACGTTCAGCTTGTTCAGGAGAATTGTGCTATGTCTTTTGGTAAAGATATTTTTTGTAGTTTTCGCGATATTATGCTTTTTCTGCGTTTTTTTTTGTCCCATTGAAATGCATGTAGAATTCTTAGAATTCAGCAAAATTCAGATAAAACTTTATCATCTTCGACCTTTAACTACTTCAGCATACTTTCAGCATACTTTCAGCTAGAAACACCATTCAACTTTTAAAATGTTTCCGTATCTTTCCGCTATTACTGTTTAACTCAGCTTTTTGCTAACCTTTACAGTTTTGCTTCAGTGAAGCTTCAAACTTTAAAAGAAAATTTTAAGATTTTCAGATTTATAATGGAAGTCTATGGACGAAATTCTTCAACTGCTAGAATGCGTGCTCTAGCTTTTGAGCTGTTATGGTTTTTCCGAACAAATTGTTCTCAGTCCCTCATTTTTAACTCAATTGAAATAAATTATACATCAAAACGTAGGGATTTTTATCAGGATTCAGGAAATATAACCATAATTTATGTGGCATTTACGGTTTTCCGACTGTTTGGCCTAGTCAATGAAGAAGTCCATACTTCCCCAATAGAAATCCAATGAGAGATTTTCCAAAAATCACAGACAAAATCCAAAACGATACATATTTTCGTATCGCTCCCATTTATTAACTATTTGATGTACTAACATGAAACTTGGTATACAACATCTTCAGAACCTTCTAGCACTCACATTGAAGGAATTTCTTCAATATGATTTATGGTTTAGCTGTTTAGCTGACTTGTTCGGGCATAGGAAAACGCTGATTCTGAGAAAAATCGTCAAACTCAGAAAATGCAAATTTTTACATCCTCACCGTGGCCAAATCATTTTTAGTAGAAACATGAAAGTTGGCACAGTGGAAGCCGAAGGATGGCTGACACCAACGGTGAAATAATTTTTTGAATACCTTTTACGGTTTTGGCTCACAGTTTGTTATCCTTTCTCTGCCTCGTTTGTTCGCAGGGGAAGTTTTGCTTTTGAGAGCTCAGCTCTACCATGGAACTCCATGTTATTTAATGAGACCAGCAGGATTTCTCAAACCTTTATATTTCTCCTTCCCATTAAGGTTGTGAATGAGCTACAGCCATGAACATTATCCCAATTGGAGACAAAGGATAGCTGTCGCTTAGACTGAAATAATTTTTTAGATACCATTTACGGTTTGTCTTCAGCACTCGTTTGTTCTGAGCTGATATTCCCATTCAAAAAAGCCTGAGAGGAAAGGAACGAAAGTGAAGCGCTTTTCTCTCTTTCACTGACAGGCTCGTTAAGCGTTGTCAAGGTAACCGAGCTTCAAAGGAATTTTACCTCCGCCTCTTTAAACAGCACATTTTATTCTAATGGAGGGAGACAACACTGATTTAACATTTGGAAATGGATACAATATGACTACTGGCCATGACCCTTCCCTTCACACGCAACCCTGATAGACTTTCAAAATAAGACTCCGGGGACCCTTCAAAATAAAAGCCCCTACATTAAACTCATATTTTTTCCCAGCATGTGGCTAAACATTATGACCCAAACTCAACCACTTTTTTAAAAATGAGACTCTAGGGGGTTTTCAAAACACACCCCACCGAAAATTTCTAAATAAAAGCCTCCCATTGCCACTTTACCTACTGCCCTAATAACAAGGGAAAAGAGTGATTTAACAATTGGAAAGTCATCAAGTATCACTGCTGGGTCTGACCCTTTTCTCAACACACAACCCTGCCAGACTTTCAAAATAAGACTCCAGTGACCCTACACAATAAAAGCCTCTATATTATACTCGCATATTAATTGATGCAAATGGCTCAGCATTATGACCCAAACTCTACCAGCTTGTTTCTATTAGACTCTAGGGACCTTTTCAAAACATACCCCAGAGCAAATTTCACAATAAAAGTCTCCCATTACGCTCTAATACAGTATCTATTCACCCAATAACATGGAAAACCAGTGATTTCATATTTAGGAATGGATTCTATATCACTGCTGGGCATGACCCTTCCCTTGACACACATCCATGATAGACTTTCAAAATAAGACTAAAGGGACTCTACAAAATAAAAGCCTCTTCCTTACATACACTCATTCATTGTGCCATATGGCTCGTAGCTATGACCCAAACTCAACCAATTTCTTCAAATTACACTACCAAAGCCTGTTGACCACACACCTCAGTGCATATTTCTTAATCAGGTTCTAAGATTTACACTGTAATAAAGCATGTGCTAACCTCGTAACATGCAGCCTAAGCCTGCCAATGGTGCTGTCATCAACACAGCGGCTCGTAACATGCAGGTTAATTTTTTTTGATAAATTCAGCTCCTTAAGTGGTATTAGCTCTCTTTCTATAAGCTTCTCTCTCTGTCCTTCCTCTGCTTCTCATGGTCAGTCTTGCACATAGGTTTGTATATTTTCAATCCTCTAAGGATGACACTGTTTTCTTTATGCTGATCAACCAACACATTTTAAATCATTTCAAATTGTTGTGCCAAGTCTTGACATTTCCACAATTTCAAAATTTTGATACTTATTCAATACCATCTTCCTCAACATTTTACTTCCCATCCTTGAGCTACTCATATTTTCTTCAACCAGATAAGATTAAATTTTTTCTTTGTAATTTCTTTTCTGATTCAGCTAATTTAATATTTTTCAGCCTATGCTGTGAACCTTGGCTTAATTTTGCTCTTTTTCTGGACAGGAATTAAGCTTTTCTGTTTGCTGCTAATTCATAACATGCCTGACATGTTTCTGGGCAGTAGGTGGCCCCACTTCAAAATTTCTTTAGAAATTTTTCTAGAAATTTGATAGACATTATATTAAGACCCTTCTAGTGCACACATTAATGACATTTTTGATATTATGTATGGTTTGGCTGTGCAGCTTTTAAGATGAGTTTCTTTCTGCCATTTTAGTGCCAAATAATTCTACCCTAAAAAAATCTTCAGATGATTCAATTGTTTTCTGCAGTTTGAAGTTTCTGATGACTTCCTATCACATTTTCATATGTTCTGCAGTTAATTTCAGCTTTTTACATTCAGCAAAAAAAGCATTCCCACTTTGCTGTTTCTCCGAAACAGCTTTTTCTAGTTATTCATGTGTGTTGTCAAACAACAACAGTGTCCTCAATCAGAGGCTTCTGCAGAAACATTGGCAGAATAGATTTTACTTTTTTTATTTAAAAAAAATCCAGAGTTACAATAACATTGAATTTCCCTTTACGATTTATATTAAGTCGAAACGAATCGGGGCTGCTCAGTGGAACAGTGGGTAGCCCTGTCGCCTTTAAGCACAAAGGTTCCGGGTTCAATTCCTGGCCTGTCTGCATGTGGTTTTCATGTTCTCCCTGAACATGCAGGGGTTCACCCCAGGTACTCCAGCTTCCAGGTACTCCCACAGTCCAAAAACATTCTGACTGTTAGGTTAAATGACTTCTCTAAATTTTGCTTATGTGTACGTGAAAAGTTGTTTGTCCTTTTTGTCTCTGTGTTGCCCTGTGATTGACTGGCAACCTGTCCAGGGTGTACCCTGTCTCTCGCCGGTAGACAGCTGGAGATAGACACCGGCACCCCTTGCGACCCCACTTGGAATAAAGCATGTCAGAAAATGGATGGATGGATGGGAATAGTAATAAGTGGAATCCTAAAATGTCATCAGACTGCTGAACTGCTGAAAAAAAAACAAAATTAGGTCACAAATCGAGACTGCATCACACTGTTCACAGAAGCTTTCTGAGATTTAACAAAACAGATTTACCATTTTAATGATATATTTTAGGAAACTATTTTAGCATTGCTATTTCTTACCAATTTTCAAGATTTTTCATAAAATTTGACAACATTTTCCAGGCTATTAGTGGAAACAACCCACAGCTGTGAGCTCTCTGAGCAAAATCTCAGCCTGTGCCAGCTATTGGTTGTTTAATCTGTCACTGAAAACAATTGCTTAAGGCATATTTCAAAGTTTTTAATGATTTCTAGCACTTTTTATCTATATTTATGAACATATTCATTAAGTTAATTTTAACTTTAGTTTTTTTTCACTCTTATTTTAGAATAAGACATGAAATATATACCTTTTAAGTAGAACAGGTATAGTAGAAGAAGATATCAAATCAAGCTCTATACTTTTTTTTTTACTTGTGGTTTTAACACTGGATGCTAATGCTCACTGAGCCTGACTGAACAATCCATTCTGTGGGTTCCTCTCTGGTAATTTTCCATAATGAGGTCATAAAATTCAGTTAGAGAAGCCACGCCCACTTTAGAACTGTGATGTCATTGTGAATTCTAAAAGAACCCGCCCCTGTTCCAACATTACTTGAACACCCACAAACCCCACTCAGCTCACAGTTTCTCTGGAAGAGCAGCAAGCAACAAGGTAATTGCCACAGCCAAAAAGAATCATGTCTGAGAAGAATCCAGTTACAGATTCATCTTCCTGCTTTTCGGAGAGCAGTGAATTCATCACGACACAACACAGTTTAGAGTCCAGAACGGACAATGGATCAAAGGAAATATCCAACCATGAGAATTCAAGAACCAGGGTGTCTGAGGAAGTAGGACCCTCAACAAGCTGCCAGAGCCAGAAACGAAGGAGGGAAAGTGAAGATCTAGGAAGAGCAAGTAAAGATCTGGCACTGTCACCCAAGAAAAAGATAAAGACCAAACACCTTGATGAGAACCCAATTACAGATTCATCAGCCTCCTCACTGCAGTACAGCACAGACAGCTACAGCACCACGAGACAACAGATTTCAGAGTCCAGTACAGTCTGTCAACCAAAGGAAAGATCTGAATACGAGAACCAAAGTAAAACAAGCAGGGTTTCTGAGATAGCGGAACCCTCAACAAGCTGCCAGAGCCAGAAACGAAGGAGGGAAAGTGAAGATCTAGGAAGAGCAAGTAAAGATCTGGCACTGCCAGCCAAGAAAAACATGAAGACCAAACACCTTGATGAGGACCCAATTACAGATTCATCAGCCTCCTCACTGCAGTACAGCACAGACAGCTACAGCACCACGAGACAACAGATTTCAGAGTCCAGTACAGTCTGTCAACCAAAGGAAAGTTCTGAATATGAGAACCAAAGGAAAACAAGCAGGGTTTCTGAGATAGCGGAACCCTCAACAAGCTGCCAGAGCCAGAAAAGGAGGAGGGAAAGTGAAGAGCTAGGAATAGCAAGTGAAGATCTGGCACTGCCAGCCAAGAAAAACATGAAGACCAAACAGCTTGATGAGGACCCAATTACAGATTCGTCTTCCTCCTCATTTGATTACAGCACAGACAGCGGCAACAACACCAGTGGAGAACAGAGCTCTGAGTCCAGTACAGACAGTGGACCTGAATATAAGAAACAAAGGAAAAGGATAGCTGAGCCCTCAAAAGCGGACCGCGAAAAATACAAATTTCATGGAAAATATCTTCAGCTGAATAAACTGGTAGACAGAGGCTCTGTATCTCTCTTTGAAGGCTATCGCATAAAGGATAAGTCACCTGTGACCATCAAACGCATCAAAGATGTGGTATTGAAACATAGAGATGAGAATGGTAGAGAGCTCCCACTGGAGGTAGCCATCATGTTTAAACTGATGGATGAAACAGTGGAGCAGTCATTCGTGGTGTCATTGTTTGACTGGTATGACCTGGACAACGAGGTGATTTTGGTGATGGAGAGACCAATGCCTTGTAATGACCTCACAGGTTACCTCAAAGACCTCAGACGTCCCCTCGAGGACAAGGAGGCAAAGGTCATATTAAAACAGCTGGTGAAAGCAGCCATTCATCTAAAAAACAAAAATATCTTCCACAGAGACATTAAACTGGATAATATCCTAATTAAGACGGACTCAGAAGAGCCGCAAATCTACCTCAAAGACTTTGGGTTAAGCAGCTTTGGTGAAGGAAGACCACATTTAGATTATTGTGATGACTTCATTCAAGCCCCAATGGACTGGTTCCTTCTAGTTAACTATACATCTGGACCCATAACAGTGTGGCAGATAGGAGTGGTCCTGTTTGACTTGACACACATGAAGTCTTTTGAAACCAAGGAATTATATTTTAAGCGGCTACAGTTCAGCAAAAAGCTTTCAGAAGAAGCCCAAGATTTTTTGAATAAATGTCTGGAGCTTGACCCTCTGGAGCGACCCACCCTGGAAGAGCTGCTGGTTCACCCTTGGCTTTCATGAACTACACACAAAAACACAATCACACACACAATCACTCATAGATTTTTTTATTTAGTTAGATTAGTATATTTTAGGGTTTACTTAGGGATGGGGTAAAATGCCACAGTGGGTAAGTGGTTTTCTCCAGGTGCCCCAGTTTCCTTTTTTTTTATTTGAAACCACATCTATTGTCGGTTTAACTCGATTTTAGGCTTTTCTCCGGGTGCTCCGGTTTCCTCCTCTCTTAGAAAAAACATTTTAAGGTGATATTGATATGTTTGTGTTTTCTCAACACATCTTGCCCATATATCATGGAGTTCATCATTACTGGGGATCTTTTTTTTTTTAGTGGTGTAGTTCTCTTCTCTAATTCAATGCATTTGCCCGCCGGGCAAGTGCAATGATCGCAAAAAAAATTATTTATCACTCAAAATTACTTTTAAATCCCCGACATTCACTTAAAAAAGGACCCACAAGCGTTGCAGGCGCCATTTTTGTTGTTTTGCACACATTCCATAACTGAGGTTACCAATAGCTTTCCCCTATCAGGAAAGCTATCAAGACCCCTGTAGTTTGTTTATCATTGTAGAGATTGAGTTTAAGATGCTAAAAAATTAACTTAATAACAAACCCTCATTTCTGAGACTGAAGGGTTGAGGGTAATTACAGTCAGCAGGAAAAGAACACACTTCCAGCATTCTTTTTTACTCTGTACACAGCCTTCTAGTAAAAGAAAAGAAACAAGAGAATTAGGAATAAGTTGAATCTTAGTTCCAGGCTTAGTTCCTTCAGTGCTTTCAGAAAGATGCTGCATATGCCCTACACCTTTGTTGCTGACAGTGTGATCTATTATGCCATCATCTATCAGAGTAGATGCATTAGAGAAAAATACTTTATTAGTTTAAAAACTAATAGCTAAGGCCACTTCTGTTCTGGGAATTCCTCTTGAACCTTTTTGCATGATTTTATAGAAAATAATTCTTTACCCTGTTAGATTTATTCTTTATTTGTCATGTATTGTCAATCTTACTGTAAGCTTGACTAGTTTCTCCATCTCTAAAATGAAAAGAAATTCAGCCTCAAGTTGGCAGGATTAAAAAACAATTCACAAAAATCTGATTATTTTGATATTTCCTCACAATGGAAGAGGCACTGCTACAAAAGACAGTCGTACCTTTAACTCATGACTTAGAGGAAATACACACTAACCAAACTCAAACATACAGTTTTGTGTCAAGAGGGGAATTCGTAAAACCCTGAGCCTCATAAATCATTGGTCCTCCCCATGGATAGAGAAGGGATTGCAGTAATTTCCAACCAGAGGGACGGAGGGAGTTAGCAGAAGGCTGTTTTTTTATTTTTTATTTACTTCATTATAGCAGTGGGTGGTCCCAGTTGCATGGAAAGCTGCTGGCCATGGGCTGATAAGCAAAAGGCAGCTGCCTAGCAGCTGGTAGGCTAAGTCAACATCTCTGAGTGGTTCCCTCTGTAAACTCCTAAACTTGAGGAGAGATGGAGCACCAAACCAGGTTTACCATTTACTGTACCAATTGAGAACCATGGTTCTCACTCTGACACTGTGTAGCTCATGGTCTGGAGGGGCTGACTTAACCTCAGTAACCAGTTGTTGACATTCTATGAATGGCTTTTCGGAACATTATAAAGGGCATCATTAAATATTGACTGTTATGGTTACAGAAAATTGCTGTTGCATCATGAGCCTTAACAGCCTGAGTTGCACCTTGTGTAGCTCTGTCTGGCTTGCCAGGCTATTTATAGTCTCAAACTATTTTTCCAGTAATTATTTTGGGCCAACCAAATGTCTCCTTTCATAGCCAATCTGAATTATTCCATCATCGAAATTTCTGATCCTTTAACCACTGAGCTAAGCTAATTTTCATGAAATTTGATCATGACTTTGGATTAGGTTGTGTTGAAAATCTGGCTTAAACAAAAACAAGAAACCATATTTGCAAAAAAAAAAAATAGCTTGCCAAATTCAATTTTCCAATGTCAGCTCTCATTGTTCTCTTTTTATATTTGTGCTAACAGAACTAGGCTTGAAAGAAAAATAAAACATTTATGTCTACTTAAACATATTGATGCTGAAGGACGTGTGCTGTAAACAACTTTGACTCAATTCACACCTTCATCCCTTTTTACCCTAATTTCAAACCCTTATTCAACGTCCTACATCTTATTTCTTATGGCAGTTCATATTACATTTTTGTCAAATGATGGTGATTAAACATCCTTAAACTCTGAAGTCTCTTGTTAAATTGAGTTTAATGTTGAATTTTCTTCATATTCCTCAGATTCAATCATTCTGATCCCTATTTAGGCCTTTTTTGAAGTTTGATCCCTAATCAAACCAAAAGGACAAACTGTGGTTGAACGATTTTAGAAATATACATAAATATCTAAACCAATAATTTTTACTTCCATTTTATGCTTTATTTTAAACAATAACTAATAATAAATCTACACTCACCGGCCACTTTATTAGGTACCCCATGCTAGTAACGGGTTGGACCCCCTTTTGCCTTCAGAACTGCCTCAATTCTTCGTGGCATAGATTCAACAAGGTGCTGGAAGCATTCCTCAGGGAGTTTGGTCCATATTGACATGATGGCATCACACAGTTGCCGCAGATTTGTCGGCTGCACATCTATGATGCGAATCTCCCGTTCCACCACATCCCAAAGATGCTCTATTGGATTGAGATCTGGTGACTATGGAGGCCATTTGAGTACAGTGAACTCATTGTCATGTTCAAGAAACCAGTCTGAGATGATTCCAGCTTTATGACATGGCGCATTATCCTGCTGAAAGTAGCCATCAGAAGTTGGGTACATTGTGGTCATAAAGGGATGGACATGGTCAGCAACAATACTCAGGTAGGCTGTGGCGCTGCAACGATGCTCAATTGGTACCAAGGGGCCCAAAGAGTGCCAAGAAAATATTCCCCACACCATGACACCACCACCACCAGCCTGAACCGTTGATACAAGGCAGGATGGATCCATGCTTTCATGTTGTAGACGCCAAATTCTGACCCTACCATCCGTATGTCGCAGCAGAAATCAAGACTCATCAGACCAGGCAACGTTTTTCCAATCTTCTATTGTCCAATTTCGATGAGCTTGTGCAAATTGTAGCCTCAGTTTCCTGTTCTTAGCTGAAAGGAGTGGAACCCGGTGTGGTCTTCTGCTGCTGTAGCACATCTGCCTCAAAGTTCGACGTACTGTGCGTTCAGAGATGCTCTTCTGCCCACCTTGGTTGTAACGGGTGGTTATTTGAGTCACTGTTGCCCTTCTATCAGCTCGAACCAGTCTGGCCATTCTCCTCTGACCTCTGGCATCAACAAGGCATTTACGCCCACAGAACTGCCTCTCACTGGATGTTTTTTCTTTTTCGGACCATTCTCTGTAAACCCTAGAGATATTTGTGCGTGCAAATCCCAGTAGATCAGCAGTTTCTGAAATACTCAGACCAGCCCTTCTGGCACCAACAATCATGCCATGTTCAAAGTCACTCAAATCACCTTTCTTCCCCATACTGATGCTCGGTTTGAACTGCAGGAGATTGTCTTGACCATGTCTACATGCCTAAATGCACTGAGTTGCCGCCATGTGATTGGCTGCTTAGAAATTAAGTATTAACAAGCAGTTGGACAGGTGTACCTAATAAAGTGGCCGGTGAGTGTATGTTGATGAGGGAACCATTTTTACTGTAGTGATTATGAGCACAATAAAATGAATACATAGGTATGAAAGACTCAAACAAAAATATTTAAAGTTGTAAAAAAGAGAAACAAATAAAAAACTGAAGCACTAAAAAAACTGTGGGAAAAAAATTGCCCCATCATAATTAAAGCAGTTGCTGCAGCAGTTAGACACTGAAACGAGTCAGGCTAATGAGACCCTGCCATGAGGAGGACAATCTAACAACAGCACTTCCTGCTGTATGGGGCTTAATTAACACTTTTCCCCAAAGCTGCAAATTAAGAGTGTGGGAAAGGATGGAGTCAGTAACATCAGCTAAAAAGGGATAATATAATGTTTGCTGTATTCCATGCCATCCTTTGGTTCGATCAGGCCATTGGAATCAGAGGTGTCAAAAGTATTATTATTTATTACTCAAGTACAAATATAAATCCTGCTTTTTAAAAACATTTTTGAAGAAGTTAGAGAATCAAGTTAAGCTTTTTACTCAAGTAAAATTGTAAAAGTACCGCTACCAAGTATAAAAGTAAAAATAATGCTGGAAAAAAAAAAATGTTAAGGACAGCAGCTTTACTGCACTACCCTATTAAAGGAACATTTTCCTATAATTCTGGAACTTCTTTATAATTATTTTTCTTAGTTCTATAACTAATGGTAACTTTGCAACATCTTGAAAAATTATTAATTTTGGTATGTGGTGAACAACAAGTTGCAGCAGCACCAAGTCCAACCACAAAGGAATTAATTGTCTGGATGAAACAAATTATTCTGATGGTTTTTATTTTTCTATACCAACAGTCCATAATGAAAATGAACTTAAACAAAACTAACAAGTATTTTGATTAAATATAAGGAGTAGAGATAATTGCAAAGAAATGTAAGGAGTAGAAGTAAAAAGCTGTTTGAAAAGTATTTCAGTAAAGCATAGATAGACAATATTTCTACTTAAGTAAGTTTAGGAAGTATTTGCCATTTTTTACTTGACACCCCTGGTGAGAATTACATGTAAATAGGAACTAGTTACAATTACTGTTACATCTACTGTACTTCTGTAACTTATTGAAATAAATGTACTTTAAGGGGTAGTTTTGCTGCCGTGTACTTCTTACTTGTACTGTACTGATACTCTAGCATTAGACATTTAAGCAGACAATTAAATGTATTCAATGTTAAATTACTTTTCTTTTTCACCCCCAAGCTTTGACTTTTTACTATTATCTTCAATCTGCTGAGCTTAGCATGGCTAATGGAGGGTATGGGAATATCCCAAAAATAGTAGATATCTTTAAACTGTTCTAACATGTATACATAACCAACTGTAAGTACTTTATAATGATTAAATAGAATAAAATATCTGGAAGTGTTTCTGCTGCATACATTTCACTCTCCTTGTGTCTTTGGGCATGGCAATGGCTACTAATGGCTGCCTGTGTACAGCAGCTGTCAGCGAGACCCAGAGCAGCTGTGGCTACAATGTAGCTAACCACCATTAGTGTGGGCGTGAATGCAGGATTGACTGCATGTGTCATTAAGCGCTTGCCTTATTGAAGTATTTCTTTGGACTCATTCTGCATTTATAAGGCATCCTCAGTCGGTCCAATAGAAGACTGCCATGTTGAGCCTGGTTTTGCAAGAGATTTTTTTCTCTCCACTGTCGCTCGATGCTTGCTCCTCATCGAGGTACATGCAAACCTGTGCCTTGTTTTAACAGGCCTCCATGTTCATTCTATCTCTGTTGCATCACACTAGTTTTCAGGGGGCTTCATGAAGCCCATGCATATAATCAACGTGAATATCACTGTTAATGTTCCCGGCCTAGTTTCAATAAACTCTCCTATTTGGCTAGTTTTTCTCGTTGAAATTCACCTACTGAGTGAATCAGTGTTTATACAAAAAAGAATAAAAATCCATTTGGCAATTTGATATTTCCCAAAAACAATTTCCAAGCAACCTACTGGTGGAAAATAGTAAAAATAAATTAGCTTGTTTTCATAGTCCTGATGTGAGCAATAAATCAAGTCATTTAAAGCAGAAATTCAATATACTGCTGAAAAGGTCTAATTCCTGATCAAAGTTATCATTCTTATCTGTGGAGAAGGAGGCAATCTCAACTCATTAATAATATTAACAATAATAATTTAACTTTATTGATCTCTCACTGGAGAAATTTACCTCTGCATTTAACCTATCCCTGTGTGGACGACTGTGCGGCGCCCGGGGATCAGCATGGGATTAAGGGTCTTGCTCAGGGACCCAGAGTGCAGGCTATGGGGATGGAAGCGGGTACTTGCAACCTTCTCAGAGCACAAGCGCACTGCTCTAACCACTAAGCTAGCACTCCCAAAGGTGTTAGTATTACATACGTGCTTTATTTTGTTTTTTATTCAGTTTTATATCAGAGAGATTCAGTAAATTTACAGTTAGAGAAAAATCTTCCTTGCAGCACAGGGATTAAGAAAGCCTGCATAGCTAGGATGGCTGCATAAAATAATTCATCTTTTCTAAAGATTTATGGTTTTTGTGAAACTGAGTAATTAAACCAGGACATCTAGTAAACCCTGACTTAGCTTGGTTTTGTTTTGTTTTGTTTTGTTGCTCTGTGACCTTGTTTTTTTGGTATAAGTACATCATTTATAAAAACCAGGGCATTAAATATTTCCAGTCTTCTAAATCAGGAAAATAGAAATAATCACAAAGGTTTTATGATAAGCTGAAGTTTGTAAGCATTTGTCCTCTGCCGTTATATTGACACAACTTTTCTGTGGATAAAAAGAGTTTCCCAAAGACAAATATTCATAATTAAGTGAAATGTCACAATATCAAATTGTTTTTATAGAGCTTATATGAGCTTTGAAAAGCCACAAGCAGCTACTTATGATTTTATAGTTACTTCTCTGTTTATTGTGTAAGGGTTTGAAAATACATGACTAAACCTCATGAGATTTGTCTCATGAAGGGCTGAGTTTGACAGGTAGAAATGTTCTTCGAAAAGATTAGTATTAAGTCTTGTTTGTGTTAAAGTCCATGCACTTCATTTAAGTTGACATCTAGGGAAGAATTAGACATTTGGGAGCTGAAATGAGAGCAGCCTAAAGGCAGTAATTACTGTAGGTTCTCCGTCTCATTATTTGAGTGTCATGTTTCCCTGCTAGTTTCTCCCCTCAGCAGGGAAGATCAGCGTATTTGTGTGCAAATGACACAACAATTAAGGCCAGTTTTCTCCATATCAAGCAGTAAATGGAAGGTAATTAAGGGCTTAATACTTTCAGATTTAATTTTTATAAACAAAATATAAGGGGACTTATGGGGTTGGC